GAGTATAACATGTTTGAAATTTTTCCTCCCATGCAAATTCAGATAAACATTTTGGTTCAAAGCACCTTGACCTATATTCAGCTTCCAATTCTTTCTCGAACTTAGCTCTTATGGCTAACTCATAATGCTGAACAAATAGCTTCAAAGTGCTTTGCCGGTTGATGAATCCGTCAAAGAAAGCATGCATTCCTTCACTTCTTTGTGTGGACAACATCCCAGCCCAAAAGTGGTCATTTAGGTATACCGGAACCCATTTCTCCTTCTCCAAATAAAGCTTATAAAACCAATCCCTTTCCTCTAAGTTATATTTTTCAATAAAATCAGTCCATTGTCTCTCAAACTCAGCAACGTTAATGCTATCAAGGACTAAAGCCTTAAATTCTACCTTTGAAATCTTACCATCAAGAACTCCGCTTAACTTCGTAGGCAACTTTGCGAATATGTGCCATATACAATATCTATGTATTGTATTTGGCATCATAGCACTGATGACAGCCTTTATACTATCACATTGGTCAATCATGATAGCTAATGGATGAACATTGTTTAGAGCCCCAAGCTATGTAGATAGCACCATTTTGTAACTTGTTATTGTTGACATCCAATTTTGTCCCTCCTTTCTTCCAGATTATTTCTTTGAGCTTCTAATATTGTTTATTATGTAAGAATATTTATTTTACTATTTTATCTAATTACTATCGTTATTTTATTATTCTATTTTGTCATTAGATTATTATTATTATTATTATTGTTGTTGTTGTTGTTGTTGTTGTTGTTATTATTATTATTATTATTATTATTATTATTATTATTATTATTATTATTATTATTATTACTACTACTACTACTACTACTACTACTACTACTACAACTACTACTACTACTACTACTACTACTACTACTACTACTACTACTACTACTATTATTATTATTATTAATATTTCTACTACGATGACGGCGACGATTTTATCTCTCAAATAATTTCATTTAACGTCAACTAATAATATTCTCCTTTACAAATATTTTTTACTGCAGATCCTACTCTTATTTGTAATATATTTATTAGTATCTACTAAATATATTTTTTTTACAACAAAAGTTTGTAATTATTTAAACACTAGAAAATTATTTAATATAAATATTTGTTACTAAGCATNTAAATATTTGTTACTAAGCATATCAAGATTTAAGAAGCCCAAATAAAAGTTGAAGAAGAAAGAGATTTAGCCTTTTCCATAGCCCAAATCGGAGGCCCATACCCACCAGCCCACCTACTCTACTTCTTTTCCATGTCAGCAACCTTCTCTTTTAGCTTTCGATTTAGGTATTATTTGGTTGAATCCTTGTTTCCACATACGTTAGTTTCATCTTCATTTAGATAACATGGCAATAGGTATCCATGTTTTAGTAGTCCATTGACTCAAGTTTGTTTCTCTGTATTTGTTGCTTTGGTTAGATTTAGTGCCTTAATATTTTTCTTCTCTGTATGTTAGAGGCATAACATGACTAGTTATATATTAAGTTTTAATATAGCATATTAGATGAGTTCTGCTAAAGTTTTTCTCTGTGTATCAAGTATCTTGTAAAATGCTATTGTCTTCAACTAATTAGGAAGTAGAGGTTTATGTTAAAAAATCTTTCATTTGTAAACTATTTAATAATGGGACTTATTAATCATTGAGTTATGTAGGATTAGACATCATCTATTCATTTTAACGTAGTATGAAAATGAAAGAGTATTTTGTTAATGGGTTCTGGGAGTTTATAGCCTTTAAATCACATTCAAATGGTAGAAATTATATTTATAGGATTAAAAATTGTGTATAAGATTTTCACCATGTAAAATCATTCCTATAAGATTCTAATGAAATATATGTGCTTATATCTATGTTAAGCCTGAATATCTTAACGCCTCTTCTTTTAGGATTTGTGTAGTAAAATCAAAATTCGAATGTTAATGAGCGTACTATTGATGGAATGAATATGACTTTCTAATAACTTGAGTTTCATTTAGCAAATGTCTGTTGAGTTAATAGTTGGATGCTATCTTACATACTCAGTTTAGCTTTAACCTCCTTTTATCTATGTTGTAGATAAAGTGACAGTTAAATTAGAAATCATGTTCTTAGAACTTTGAATGAAGAGATATCACTGTTTGGGCATAATGCACCTGATGAACTCATCTTTAAGTTCTGAAATTTGATGTTACAGGGGGCAGTGTTTGGATTATAAATAAAGTTTAACAATTTGATCCCAAAATATGCTTAGAATATGGTACTGTCTTTGTGTGATTTCGTGCAAGCAAACCTTGTGGAATAGATTTATCTTCAATAGTTGTATCGTTGCTGCAATTCAAGTCACCTTTTCTTTGCATGTCATACACATCGGAGCCGAAGAGTCTCAGGAGAGACTCAACGCTGCTGTCGAAGCAAAGTCAGCATCAATCTCTCATTTCTTGAATAGCGGGACTCCGAGATTTGTCCTTCCGAAGAATCGAATAGGAAAATTGCTTGTTTATTTTGCCTTATTCCTTCTGCTCTGGATTCACCTTCTGCTGACTAACATTTCATTTATATGTTTTGCCTGAGGAGGTTTCTTTTTTGCATGCTTAAGCCTTAAATTACTTAGTATGTTACCTCTCATTAGTAGTAGAAATATTTATAGAATATAAGGTCGAGGGGACAGAATATTTAACAATTTATATTAAGTAATTTTGAGACCCGATTAATCATTCTCAATAGATCTTTTTCACATGTCTTAAACTTTTGAGAACTGCTCTTTCTACTACAAATATAGACTCAATTTGATTGTGTTTAAGTTTTGTTTTCTTTGAGTGTAAAGGCAGAAACATCTTTGTGATTTAGGATGTTGAATCTATTTTCCTTTGGCACACATAAAAAGATCGATTTTCTTTAAATATTCCATGATTCCTCCAGGTTGTACATCACCAAGGTATTTTTTACTATTCAAAAATAAGTTCTAAACGTTGTTGCAGCGGTAGGCCCGTTTCTCTAGTTGATTATTTGGAGTCGAACAAGTTTTAAATTCTAATATGTCCAAACAACTTAATTCTCCTTTTCTATTCATAAACTTTTACGATTTTGGACAACAAGTTTTAATGGCTTTTGTACAAGGATAATATACAAACTTTCAACTATGATGGACATCTGGTTTTCTAATATACAAATATTTTTACTACTTAACATTAGATTAATTAACCTAAGTTTGACCGGTTAACCGTTATTAGCGGGTCATATAGAGTGCTTAATACCTTCTCTATAGGATTAATTAGAAACCTTACCCATATTCTTAAGTTAAGCAGACCATAAAAACAGAGTTAACATTAAGCACTATATAGCTAAAATTGGTGTCCTAATTCACCGTTAATATAATTAGGTGGCGACTCTCTTTAATTAATTAAAACTTCAGAATTACCAATATGTTATATTCTAGTTTGACCCGCGTTAAAATGGGGTATAACAGTTATATCCTCACTAGACATAAGAGCACATCCCAAAAGTATGGACTGCCTATGCTGATTGACACCAACAAATGAAGCAAATGACATATTGTATCGATTCACAAGGTATGTGGTATCAAGGCATATTACATCATGGAACTCCTCATATGCAACCTTAGAGTGTGAATAAACCCATACGACATTACGAAGTCGACCAAAACTATCCACATCTACGGAGTAGTAAAATTCCCTATCTTTTTGCTGCATGTCACTGAAGAACTTGGGTAATGATTGTGCATCCCCTTCTTGCAACTGAAGCTTTCTACTATTCAAGATATAATTTCTACAGTCCTTTGGTGTACAACCCAGATTTTCGGGGCCACCAGCAAGTACTTCAGCGACTCTTATATTTTTTGAGGGTCTTAAGCCAGCAATATCTTTGGCTGCAAGAGTTCTCTTAAGAGACTTGCTAAGCGATCTGTGTCCAGCCATCAATCGCGATAGTGCTGGTTCCAATTGATGATTATGTTTTTTTACCACCTTTGAAACACGCCATGAACCATTCTCCTCCAAAATTCCATTTATTCTAGCACGGCAGTTCTTCCTCTTGGTAACATGCTTATTCCTTGGTTTCCTAGACCTATCACAACCATATTGCACATACCTAACAATATCACCACCTTTTTTGTTGGACGTTCTTTTGACAATGCAAAAACCCGATAATCTTGCATGTTCTTTGTAAAAATCAAACAGAACATCCTTACTACTGAACCGCATCCCAGTAATTGGACCAATTATAAGATCTTCTTCATTGAACTCATTAGGCATTTCCCTGTCCTCTCCAACTTCTCCCTCTTCCTCTAAATAATGGCCGTCGTAATCATCATCATCATCATCAGCAGCAGCAGCAGGAGCAGCAGCATCGTCAACAGGATTTTCTCTATCATTGAAGTTGCCGTCTGAATCAATGTCGATCGATTCATCTTCATTCATCAAACTGTCGTCCGAATTCAACCCTAATGATATGTGTAATGCATTCCTTAGTTGATCCGACCTAGTTTCTAGACTGTTATTCGGGTTTAATGGGTCCAAACTAGTTTCTCGGTTAGTATTCATGTTTAGGTTAAGGGAAGTGTGGTGAATTATGTGTTTAATGAAAGCTATCTTAACATAAGTATATGGTATGATATATACATAATAGACCTTTGATCTTCCCATCCGTATAAATTGCATTTAATTAAAAAAAAATACGTAATTGTATTTAACAAAAATACGTAATTATATTTTAAAAAAACGTAATTGAGCGTATATACGAAGGCTGTCATTCGTATATACGAAGGCTTTTTATCTTCCCATGCTGAGAGAATGATGATTTATGGGATCAATGTTTTGGAATAATCAAAAGTTATTAACTAATTTTGGAGGGAAATATTTTTGAGGGAAAAAAGGGCCATTAAGCCAAACGGAAAAACAAGGGCATTACTGGCATTTCACGGGTGTGGTCATTTTTGGGCCACGCTGAGTTTGGCCGAATAGCAGCACTCT